CAAAAATTAGGAAAGGGAATCCACCGAGACCTAGGATCATCTGGAAGGAAGCTCACGAAGTCCTGACATTTGCAGTTCTCAGACGCCAAGTCATAATTCGCGTACAGAAACTGGCGGAAGATTGGTGGCATAAGAACAGAACGGACAGGTATAAAGATCTGGACCTACTGATGCGAAGAAAACGCCCTCCGGAGCTAGCTCCACCTCGATGGGCATATCACCGCCTCATTGCAGCAAGGACTGGGTATGGTGACTTCGCCGGCCATCACAGACAGTTCCAACATCAGAATTTGGAAGTGCTCTGCAAATGCAGCCGAGAAAAACGGCCATGGCATTTTGCAGAATGTCGCCTGCCTATCCAGAAATGGCGGACGGAAACGAAGGAAACCCGACCAACTATAAGAGTCATGATAGGGCAAGAAGGATGGCAGATATTCTGGCGCTTTTTAACTGTAACAAAATGTTACAGCGGAGGGCAAGACTGAACACCTGTACGCGGTGTCCTCTACGAACCTGGGAGTGAAATATTCTCCCAGAGCCAAGTTCAGTCAAATTTCGCAATATCAAAGAAGTTGGCCCACGAGGCAAAAATTCAAATTACTCCACCATGTCAACCTTTCACTCCCAAAGAGTCCGATTCTCAACCAAGCTTCATCAAGTCTACAAGTACGACCTAGTACATCCTCGCTTCAATGACCACACCTCTCGTCGACTTTCTCTGGCCTCAGCCGGTCACCAAATACACGCTCACGCCGATTTTTATACCCGACGGAGGAAGCAAAGCGTGGAGCACAAATCTGGGAGATAGCTCTTTGGGACGGACGTGAGAGGAATCAGGACAAGTTCTCAAGATGATGCAGAAGAGGGATACGTTTTCGACGGGCGTGAAATTTCGAATTTTGGCAAGAGTTTTACGAATTGAGCTTTGTGCGCGCCAAGACTTCGCTTGCGAGAGTGCAGCTGACACTATATAAAAAAAGCAAACGATGGAAGGTGTTGTGGTCCGCCTCCTGGTGGTGTTCTCTGGTATGGTTTGAGTAGCCTGGGCACCTACTCCACTTGGGAAGGAAAAATCTCAGATTACATTTCGCGCGGAGAAAAGTTGATGGATGACAGAGGCATGTCTGGATAACTCAGGGTTTTTGAGACGTTCCCCTGAGTGGGTATTCACGGATGAGGGTTGACTTGGGGTGAAGAAAAAGCCATCATAACTTCGCAGTGGTACTTGCAAATGAAATCCGAGGCATGATTGCTCCTACTACAAACTGAGTCATCTTTTCTGCACTTTTCTCTGATATTGTGTCATAGCTAGATAGCTGCATACGCAATTAAAATCTGATGCAAAAAAAAAAAAAAATGTTACAGCAAGAATGAATCATAAACAGGGGGTCAAAAGATCAAAAGAAATGCTTCTTGGGACCGGTTGGTGTGGTACGAGAATTAAGGTGTAGTGCAGGGCATTAGCACCTTAGAAATGGTGATTTAATTGTTTGGTTTTTTTTTGTTCTGCGTTCTTAGTTTCTATGAAACAAAAATATAGGTAGCGAAGAGTCCTAAAGATCTAGACCACCCGTGCCATGCCCTCTGGGTGCTGGGGCAGTACACGGTCACGATAATAATAATCATATCATATCATGCTTCTTACACATCAAGTAGCTTAACCCCGATTGGTGTAGAAGAGTGTGCTAAGGATTGGCAAGGGTCATGGGTTCTAATTTGGTGTCGTCTATAGCACCTGTAGGAAAGGTCCAACCATATTTTTCCCACACATTTATTCATCCATATGCATGTTGTAGAGAGTAGTTTTATTCAAGTATTTTACTGTCTATTATTAACATACTTAAATAATAGACGGAATTCTCGGTACACATACAAGTGTCAGAGTCAGTATTAGTACCTTGGGTAACCTCATCATAATAAAAGGGCATCCCAAGATGGATACTAACTTCGTAAAATTCTTTGTAGATGATAGAACGACCTCTGTAGTCCTTGGAACATACAAATGGGACCAAATCTCTACTAACACAGTGTCAGACAGATAACCCTAACTTTAAATATTGTATCATGATGTCTAAGTTGAGTAGTTTACAAGCAAGTAAACTTGGCTGATGCATCAAGGGCAATAACTTAGTCATGCAAATGTTACAACTAGCGACTAGACGGATGGCCAATTTCATACGCACAACTCCCTTGTTGTTTCACTTTCTCTATTGCCCATGATAATGTAACAGCCAATTTCAGAACAATATATGAAACGGAGATTTGAGCAGTTTGCATGGGAAATCTAATAGTCAGTCTATATTTGGAATTAGTAGGTTACTCAAGATGTATATAGTACCTAGATAGATTCCTCATGGTAGAGGATAATGAATTCAATCAACTCTGAGAGAGATTCATATTAGTATAACTTTGCTCAACACACAGGTATACCTCAGGGATCAGCTCTGTCTCCGATTTTATTCCAAGTTTTTGTCAGCACCCTCTTACCATTGTTTCAGACTCCCTTTAGCTCAGGGGTAGGATTTATAGATGACACTAATAAACTGACGAGGTCAAGCTCTACGGAGGAAAATTGCCGAATGTTAGGGGAAAAGCACAGCATGTTCGAGGAATAAGCAAAGAAACACGGAGTAAAATTTGCACCGAAGTATCAATTGATGCATTTCACACGAGCAAGGAACAGACACAATCTAGAAGCCACCGTGAGTATACAAGGACACTTAGCATCACCGTAGTCTTCTCTTCGAGTTCTCGGAGTCTTCTTTTACCTCAAACTCCACTGGGGGCCCACATAAAGAATATCCAGCAAAAATCGTGCACTCAAGTGCAATCAATTAGTAGACTGACACTATCAAATTGGGGAGCGACATTCGTGAAGTCCAAGCTGCTATATAGCTCAATAGTGAGATCGGCCCTTACGTATGGGTCCTCGATTTGGGCCGAGGCCAGGCTAACAGGAAAGATACCTGAAAAAACAGTGAAACCTCTCAGAAGTATTAAAAGAAAATGCTTAAAGCTTGTTTCAGATGCCTATAATTCTACTAGTAGCAGATTGCTAGAGCACGAATCGTCCGTCTTCCCTATAGAGATATACCTAAAGCAAAGGAGGGTCCAGCACGCCGGACTATCAGCTCAACTCCCAGTTCAAGGGACAATCCGATCGAAATGTAAGAGAATAAAGCTGCCTGCAAACGGGAGAGAAACTCTGCATGCCTTGAACAAGAGTAAAGATACCGCCGAATAGACAAGAACTTGCGGAAGGGAAAAAGACCGGGGAAGGCAGAAAGAAGCTGGAAAGATAGCGGCCTTTCAGGAGTTGAAGGATTCATGGACAAGCCAGAACAGGAAACAGCGCCCTGGACGACCTGCATCAGCCGATCCAGAATATTGGAAAGCGGAAAATATATTTACTGATGAACAAACAGGCAGCACCGAAATGAACTTCAAAGATACACCCTTAAAAATCCACCGCAACCTGACCAGGGCACAAAGCATTGTCGCCACTCTGCTAAGAAGCGAGCATATCGGGGTCAATTATTACCTATACAGAAGAAAAGTACCCGGAGTAGAAAAGTAAAGCTGTCAATGTGGATATCCATCACGAAACTTCAAACACATGGTGTTGGCGTGTCCTCAGTTGGAAAATGGAAGAGGCGACTTTCTCCGACAAGCTAAAGTCAGGTCATTTGAAGCAATGATGAACAGCTCAGAAAAATTAGCTAGAATCACCCAGTGGATGCTAAGCAAAGGGCGGATAAAACAGTTGCGACTTGCAGGGGAAGTCGAGGTAGCAATGTCAGATATAATAAATCGATCTGGAAGGGGAGTGGACGGAATCCACACTGGCTGAACAGTGTATACTGCACTCCCTGAAGGTAAACTAAACAAATTTATAGTAAAATAAACAGACAGGATTAGGGGGTTTTCACCAAGTTAGTTTCCTCCTTTGTAAATAATGAAGATAGTCACCTGCATGGACCCATAGGGTGCATGATCGGGCTAAATGAAAACAAATTCAATTTTCATAACCAATCCACTCCGTTCCCATATTTTTGTGTTCCTATGTGTTACGGTTTGACCGTCGTTTGAGCTTAGGTGGATACCTAAGCCTGATACTAAAAATTCTTATGATGAGGCTGTATGGGGGGGGAGATGAAGCTGAACGAAACGGCACTACTACTCGGGAGGCTGAAGCGTTATTACAACTTAGTGACACCTGGAAATATTTGGCTCGGTAGCAAGTATTAGGCCTAAGGACAAGTCACTAGTCTGTAGATTCACAAGGAGGATTGACTCTTATAAATACCTGTTAGTCATAGCTACAATTAATTCTTCTCCTAATATAGTTTATTAAATCGATTTATTCATCACCAACTCGGTTTCCGTCACACTATGACAACTAGACTCCCCACCGCTGCTTAGGCACGCTTTCCCCCTTTAATGAAGGATCATGATAAGAACTATGATAGATTGGCCTTCATTCACGTATATGTAAGATTAGTTCAATGCAAAACAAAGGTTACAAAGGTGAGGTACGAATCATGTCTTCTTTCTATCAATGAACATTGCGAACGTGTAGTTCGTGATATTGGCTGATTCGTCAAGGCAGTGACTGAGCAACAGAGAGACGCACGACGTTTATTGCAGAGCAAATTGAACCACTTTCAGACATATAGTGTGTGTTGTTCTTTTTAGGAAATATAAATTACAAATATCAAAAGTCATCTTCAGCAGACCTACTTACCCATCATTCCAGACCCTTCACGTCGCTTCCTCCCGTCCGCTTAGTTTACCGCTGCATTTTCTCTACTTCTAATCGCTTCTTTTCGTCTGATGAATATCCCTATATCACAGGGTAGGTTTCGTCAGTAAGTCTACAAATGAGTAGGGTTATTGATTTAACTTGGATAAAAGAAAGTCCCTAACTGTCAATTTTTGCAATGGTGTCATCAAAAGTACGAATAATAGGACCGTAAAGTATGTCGGTAATTTCGTTTTCCTCATGGATATAATTTTCCTATAAAAAGTATTCGACGTAAATCACATGCCAAACTTTTTACATCCTCATAGCTTGGCGAGAAGTAGTTCAGGATTTGCTCTTCAAATTCATCAGTGACAAAAGATTTCTTCGTACGAAAATTATTACCGTGATCAGCTGTGTACCACTTATTTAAATGAGTGGGGGCAGATCGTGAGTGAAGTCCGTAGGTGATACATCCAACTAGAAAAGCGTAAAAAAATGATTCCAAATTATGCCGATAATTCTTATGATATTTGAATATTCCATTACTGACATTCTTTACAATTTCTATAGCCATGTACTTCACTGTACCCATTATAATATCTGCCCCAGCCGGATGATCACTCAAGTTCAGCGAAATTGACATGTCTAGGTCAATCAGCATACCTTTTGTTATGCCCTTTTTATCTGGTCTGGTATGGAAGGCTTAAAGAAGTCAGGAGTACTTGAAGTCGATAACTCAATGGGAATGAATAATTTTTCCTTGGGGAAGCTAATCTACATTATCGTGTCCTGTCCTTTTTGTCATTTGCATGGACTGATCTTAGCACCCTCCACTGGCCAGCTGGGAATAATCCTTTTTCCCCGGCTCATCTATTCTCCTGTACCATACTTCCCATTTGGTTCGTGCCACCCTTGATGCCTCCTTAGCGTCCGATTCACATTTCCGTGAACGCTGCTCTGCCACAGCCTAGACTCGAAGACAGAGTGGTCTTAGTGACCAGTCCCAATCCGGGTAAAGCACGGCACACCTGGTCATAATTATATTGCCCTCGGATATATCTCGCTGGAGAATTTTAGCCATATTGAGCAGCTTGTAGTGTCCAATTATCCCATCACGGACGCCGCTTTGTAACTCCCAAACAGAGGTGCAGGACTTTAGAGGTCGACCATATGGCGAAAGCTTGGCAATGATGAGTCTACGTTTCTTGTAATATTGTTGACTACTTGTTGACGTCATTTCTTGGCCCCTGAAAGGAATATATTGCGAATCTTTAATGAATATTTGATCTCCACTTGAAAATTGTATCTTTCTCCAGTGTGTTTCAACTGCATAAAGTTCCTTTGACCATTCAAGATTGATAACACCTTCCAAGTTTCGTGCAAGTTCCAGAGAATCTATTTCTGGCCGTATCGCTTCTGAGCCCCATAAAATCTTTATTAAATTTGTCCTATCCAATGTCCGGTAGCAGGTATTTGCTCTAGACATTATTGTCTCTGGTCGGGCTACTGGTTCGGGTGCCACCTGCATAATTACCGGCTGATTGTCGCCGTCTGGTATAGTTGCTAAGAGCCGGCTCCCATCATATCTAGTTATTGTATCTAGCCCAAGCTCTTCGTCACTCATTCGCATGTACGAAGATAGCGCTCGAACCTTTTTTTCTCGACTCCCAATTACAACAATTTCCCTCGAGCTGTATGCACCTGATCTGTCAATAACCCAGAACTCAATATGTAATTTGTGCAGGCAGAGCTCATGCACGAAACGACGCAAAGGCTGGGCACAAAATACTTCGCGGACGTATCTTATCAGGTGGTTCATTTTTTTTAGATGTCTCACGAGGCGACGCTATTAACTCTCCGATTACTCTAACATCACGCCAGTCGTGAGTCGGGCCATCAGGGGGAGCAACGTCCTCGATTAAAAAGTCTAGTTTCCAAGGACTTAGATCACCTACAAGTTGTCTGGGGTAATTTGTGTGTGAAAATTTTCCACGAAAAATGGGATCGCCCACAATCCTGTGTACGATGGGTTGGCCATTAGTTGGCACTCTCCTGTTCGGCAAATGTTGATGTAGGAACCGATCTTGAAAAGAATATAGCCAGTTTCGCGTCGCTGCTTCACTCATCTCCCTTGAGAAAGGGTTTTCCGTTCCGTATTGACCGTGATCGCGGTAGCTTTCCAAAATACGTATCGTGAAGTCGGACCAGGGATTGTTTTGAATAATCTCCTCCCAGAATTTGTCATTAGATTTGTAAGTACGACCTGAAAGTTCGAACATCAGAGCCCTATTAAGAGATTCTGTGGTTCCTCTGTATCCGGACAGCTCTGAACTTTACCACTTGAAAATAGGCATCGATGAAGTCGATTGCATCGGATTAGTTTGTAATTCAGAGCATTATAATTTCGATTCAGTAGTAAGTATATCAGCCATGGCGTTGACATAAGGCTAGATTTCACGGTCGCTTGCAGAGCCAATTATGATGGAAATTAAGCGTTCAAAATTGAAGAACTTTCTTTTTGACAAATTTATGTTGTATAGTGAGCAGCTGATCATCTAGGGTCGAGATGGCGTCGTTATCTGGAAATTTCCTAGTCCAATTTCTTAGACTAGATTTGAATTTATCGATTCCTTCATAATTAGCTTTTACATCATCACTCTTAAGAAAGACTTACCTATCTTCTCCCTATTACCTGGGTTGTAAGTGCTTCTGAATTTAGCACATTTCGAGGTAAGAGTGGCATGAGTAGAAGGTTCATGAAGTTCTTGGAAGGGATCCATCTTAATGAGTGTCGACGGAGGTTATATATATATATATATATATATATGTATATAATTCATTATCCTGGTTTGTCACCTTGAGGCCCATGCAGGTTTTTATCGGAAGATATGTACTTTGAGTAGGATGACTCGATTTGACGTTTAGAATACTCACACTTAGATTTCATTTGCAGATACCACTCGAGATTAACCCTTACGGCGTATAACCTCTTCCGTGCATAGCCACCACAGGGAAAAGCGTGAAAAACCTGTGGCTATCCGAGTGTGCTTTTATTATCCCACAAGTACAATATCACCGCGAGAGAGAGTGGTGTGTGGGTCTGACTGGATTCGAACCAGCTTTCTCCTGTCTCAAATGGGGTGGGTGAGATGAATATGTTGAGTTTTCCCCGAAAATTGGAGAGCGTAGTCTGCTCATTAATATGTGCAGCAGTCGCATAATATATACGCACCTGGATGTATTTTACTGTCATATTGCCGCGGGGTCAAGTTTGTAGTGGATCTTTGGTAGGGTTTTTAGCGTAAAAACTAAGACTCATTAGGCATCATCACCTTCCATACTGGGGTTAGCCCCCGTATTTGTGCAAATTTTCGAAAAAATTTTTATGTGTAAAACTTAGAGAGGTCTTCGTGCGAATGTCACGTGAATAGTCAAAAGGTAAAAGCGAATACAAGAATGAACTGATTAATTGTCACCTTGCTACGATGGACTCGTAGCACTATAATATCTTATTCTACCCTAATAACGCCCCTGATCTTTCCCTTTGGTGGGTACCTGCGGAGGAGGGTCAACTGTTTGTGTAAGCGAACATACCTCATAGTGGTATTTGCGAATGAAATCCAGAGTATGAGTGTCTCTAACGTCAAAAGAGTCATCCCACATGTATACACAGCACCGGTCATGTGTCATAGCTAGATAGCTGAATACACATTAAATGACTCAAAAAAAAAAAAACGCCCCTGATCATCACTACTAGACCGATGTGTGCTTGTGTAGATCGTACTTTCGCTTATGAGCTGGGTTCAGACTTATGCTTGCATAAGTCTGCTCACAGTATGGCGATTTTTTTCTGAACATCAATGTTTGTAGTGGGTCTTTCCTTCATACTAAACATAATTGGTATAATGATCAACTGCATAACATTTGTGCATTTTTGCTACTTAACTCTTTAACTTATTTACAAGAGTTCAGAGGTTTTCGAATTAAAAAATAGAAACCCAGTCTTATCTTAACCTTGGATCTGAACATGCGGCTGGAATATTTTCAGGCCTTTATATCTGCTTGGTCCCCCATCCGCATCTATCATAGCCGTACATCTTGCTGGCTATTCTCAATGAGTCTCACAAAATCTTCGGAAGACACGGAGATCTATGCCTCCTTTACAACATTGCGAGGACTATCTGGAGTGCGCTGCTTTCCGCCAACCACATTCGGATGTAATCCTTCATCCTATCCCAAACAGCTTTTATCGATTTATAATTAGGCAAGCTTGGCAAATGAAAACGGTTGAATTAGCCTCTCTCTCATTTCTTCTATCTATTACCCAAGTTTTGACTGTCCATGAAACTGACGTCCAGTCTTCGAATGTCCCATTGAGATGGGTTTGGCCCATTCTCTGCGTGTCTTCATAGTTTTCTGAGATGATAGAGGATTCGGACGAGCTACATGTCGTTAATATCCCCTTTTTTTAAGTTCTCTTTGTATTAACTGTGACTGAAACCGAGTCGGTGATGAATAAATCGATTTAATATGCTATATGAGGAAAAAAGTTAACTTTAGCTACGACTAATAGATATTTATAAGAGTTTATCCTCTTCGTGAATCTACAGACTAATGATTTGTCCTTAGGCACAATAATTCTTGCCCAGCCACGTATTCCCAGGTTTCACTAAGTTGTAATGACGCTTCAGACTCCCGAGTAGTAGTGCCGTTTCGTTCAGCTTCATCTCCCCCCCATACAGCCTCATCATAAGAATTCTGAATATTAGGCTTAGGTATCTGCCTAAGCTCAAACAACGGTCAAACCGTAACATTACCCGGTCGCTGATACCATGATACCTAAATGAGCCGGAGCCGAGTTCTAGAAATACTTTGCGGCGGTTTTCAAGTGAAGAATCAACGTGAGATATAATCTGATCAACATCATCTAATTTCAGTCTTGAGGATGTTCTTTTTATTTATTTGGGGGAGACAGTTCCGCGGCGCAGCGAATAACTAACTTGTCCCCGAAAAATGCCTAGTTGCGCGGCGATCTTCGTCCGATTTTGGCAGCTTCATGGAGCCCATGAACCTGAAATCTTTCATTAATTTCTGTTTTTTAATATTTGATTCTTCGACTCATTAAAGTGTTTTGATTGCTCGATAGTTGTTGGAATCAAGGTGTTGAAGGTGGGGTTTGAGGTGGATTTGATTTGATTTGATTTGATTAAATTTAACGTGGTTTGAGGTGGATTCATTTGTAAAATAAGATTGGTACCGAGTAAAGTCATGTGTCTGCTGAATAAACAACTTTGTATTTGAGAAATATAATTCTTATTATCAGTCAAGCACCAGATGAGAAGAGCTGTAAAACATTTTAGTGGTCGGCGGATAGAGAAGTGGTGGAAAAGAACTGGAGATTGGGTTGGATTTGCACAAAACTGAAGGAGTGTTACGGCCTTTTTTTTTTGCTTCAGATTTTAATTGCGTATGCAGCCATCTAGCTATGACACAATATCAAAGAAAAGTACAGAATAGATGATTCAGCGTAAAGGAAGAGCACTCATGCCTCGGATTTCATTTGCAAGTACCACTGCGAGGTTATGGCTGCTTTTTCTTCACCCCAAGTCAACCCTCATCCGTGAATACCCACTCAGGAGAACATCTCAAAAACCCTGAGTTATCCAGACATGCCTCCATCATCTTTCAACATTTCTCCGCGCGATATGTGATCTGAGGTGTCTCCTTCCCAAGTGGAGTAGGTGCCCAGGCTACTCAAGTGTTACGGCATTGTATTCCCGAAATTAGGAGCCCCTGATACTATTGTTCCTTTCGGGTATTGTGTTGTGATCCTATATGCGCACGGACCAGTTGTATGTTATGTATATTATGTATATTATGTATATATGTATATCTCTAGATACCTCTTGTTATTTTCTTCCCCTAATTTAGAATATTATGAACTGTATTCCTGAATTAGGTACCTACCTGATTCGACTTGGTCATCTTTTAACTTGTGCTCTCCTCCGGTTGTCACAAGGTGACAAGAAATCAAATTGTGCCCTTAGTTTAGGCTTTGAAATACAGGATAAGAATTATGTACCCTGTCGAAATGGTCGCTAACAGGGGTATATCCCCTGAAGCGTAAATTTCTTACCCACTTAACGGCGTTGCAAACTTGCCATCGTGCCTGTAGGGTTGTGATAGATTGAGAAAGGACAATAAAGTGAATTATTATTAATTCATTTTATTGTTCTGTCTGAGTCTATGACTATGTAAGACATGCAGGTCCTCTCTGCCTACAGGTCAAGGATACCTATACCAGTAGTATATCCCCTCCTATGCCTCCCATACAGCTCCCCTCAAACAGTACCACCTTTCACAAGCCCTCATTCGATCATACGCTTAGAGGAGCCCTTTGCCCTTCATTATTTCCCCTCTCCAACCAACGAAACGAGGGCCATTTGCGGGTGTACGGCAGCCGGGAAAAATCGCAAAAACCACTGGGTGCGGGGCTCTTCTAATACCGACATTAGGAATAAATCCGAAGACAAACTGCCCCTTCTGAAGCGTTCGAAGAGGCCGGCCAGCTGGGCGCTGCAGACTTGTGGGTACCTCAGAATTCACACACTGCATTTCTAGCCTCCTTCTAACTCCTTCCCGAAGGTCGTGCTGAAATGTCAGAAAAGTCTTGACAGAGCGTGATTGCTGTATAGTAGCTTAGCGTAGCTTCTTTTGTGCCGTCCAGGGCGCTGGGGAGTGCCGTTGACTCATCGATAGAAGAAGCCCTCCTGGCTAATTAACCGAAATCTAGGTCTTGGCGCCCACAAAAAATCCAAA